TGCCGTTCTGGGCACTAGATCAATAAAGAACTCAATCTCTCAATGAGGTGGTAAGCTAACAAGGTCCTCAGGAAAAACATCCGAATACTCGCAAACCACTCTCGGCAATACAGTCTGGGTCTCATCACACTCACCATTCATGAAGCTAGCGAGAAGACCACTAAGCTCACTCTGCCCTAGCGGATCATACACCGGTGGCAACACACTACCAACCCGTTCCCCCAAGAAATGGAAACACTCCCGCTCAAGGTACAAACAATGACCCTCTGGCGGTAACAATCAATAACAGCCCGGTATGACGATAACCAATCCATATCCAAAATCACATCAAAACCCGACATAGGCATAACTACAAAAGGAAACGGAAGCCGGCGGTCAGCGACCTCTATATCACAGCCCCGACACCCCTGTTTCAAAATCAACTCACCCCCAACTGGTCATACAACACATATAGAAGATGCTACCTGTGCCAACTCCAACCCCAAAATAGATGCAAATGCAGCAGATAAAAAGGAATGGGATGCACCCGTATCAATCAATACATTGGCAACCGAGTTGCAAAACAAAAAGGTACCTCTCACAACAGATGGGGCCGGAACAAGATCCTGCACGGAAACAACATACACGCGCCCAGAAGGTCTCTGGTTTACCTGCTCACCCCTAGAAGCAAAAGACTGCTACACAAACTGGGATGACGAAGCTCCCTGATTGGCCCTCGAGGCCTGAACTGACGGTGCTGGCTAAAAACTCTGCGTCTGTCTCGAACTAGATGCACCCGATGTGGCACTCAACTGCGGGCAAAACCTCTTCAGGTGCCCCGCCTGACCACACTGATAACATGAGAGCAGCTGGCCTCTGCCCTGACTCTGGCTCTGAGGTCGAGCCGAAGATGAAGCTGCTCTCTGGCCTCCTCCCCTCTGCGGGCAAGCTGAAGACTTGTGGCCCAGCTGACCACACTTGTAACAAGTAACGTCTCTCTGACTGCCTCTCCCAGAACCTGCACTCGGCACTGGAAAGGTAGATCTAGCAAAACCACCCTGAGACTGCTGAAGGTTAGGACCCCTCTATCTCCTGCCATTTCCCTGGCCATCCTGACTCCTCTTGGAGCCCCTCAACCTCTTCTCCTCCTCATGCATCATAATCTCCATATGGGCCGCAGCATCCACAAGGTGCCCATAGTCCCGGGTCATAGAACCCCCAACTCTCATCTTGAGGCCATGCCTCAATTTCCCCTCAAGCTCGAGACAACGGTGTTCTTCAGACGCCACAAGCTCAGGTGCGAACCTGGATAAGCTAGTAAATGCGGCCTCAAACTCGGCCACTGATAAACTCAGCTGCTTTAGCTGGCAGAACTTATCTCTCAACTTCTCCCTAACAGCGAGAGACAGAAACTTCTCTTGGAAAACATCTACAAGGCCTCCCAAGTACCACCAATACGGCCCCGGATAAACTTCCACCATTGACCCGCGTCTCCCTTCAGTTGGAAAGACGCCAAGGTCACCTTCAAAGCCCCGTCCTCGATGCCAAGCATCTCAAATGTCTTCGTCATCTGCTCCAACCACTCATCTGCCTTAAGTGGCTCTTTCGGATCTCCCAAAAACTCATCCGGATTAGACTAGAAAAACTCCCTCTTCAGAAAGGAAGGCCCTACATCAACAACCTGGGCCTGAACTTGATTCTCAACCTTGAGAATGCCCACGGATTCCCTGAAAGCTCCTGCTATCTCGCGGGCTAAGGCACCCATGGCCTGCTGACCCACTAGCTCGGCCATATTGGCCTGGCCAACACCCTCCTGTTGCGCCGAAATATCCTCCGGTATAGGCACCTCCTGCCTGCCACGCCTACCTCTGCATCCTCGTCCTGACATCCTAATAAAGGTAACAGGAACGTTAGCACATTCACAAATGTGCCAAAGCTAAACACTCACGTCCTAATGCAATGGACAACTGTAATTCATTCCACGTAAGCACATAATCACATAAGCACTTACGAATTTCATTTTCGGATAATGACAGTCCCGATGTGTTACTAGAGTTCCAGTTAGAAACAGCATTGATTAAGTGCTTTTCCAATAGGACTCCCAGAAACCCAAGGATCCAATCAACATTCCAGAAACTAAATCTCATACCCATATAGTCACATAAACATGTTATCACATAAGCACATAACATTATACCTAAGTCTTTAACAAACGAGACAAACCCATTGTGGTACTAACCACTTCCCACGTACCCAAAGTATTCGAACCCGGTACGCTTTGATACCAAGTTGTAAAGCCCACAAAATAATACATAAAACCCCACATTCTTGACATGCATTGATATAAGAGAAATAAACACTTTTCCATTCATCAGAGTAGTCCTTACAAATGTATTACATGTTGACAACAAAAGTAAATGCCCGACGACTTACAACTTTCCAAGCCAACACTTGGTTACACAAAAGAGAGTACTAACTCATATCATATTAAGCCCTTGGTCTGAATTTACATGTAATACAACAAAAGATAACAAAATAACAAAAGAAGTCTTCAACTCTCAAAACCTTCCAAGCTATGTCCTTGGAGGTGGCATAGCACCTGGACCTGAAAATGATGTCCTATATAGGGTGAGCCACAGCCCAGTAGAGATATACTAAACCAAATATAAGCAACGACTAAAACAATAGCATTTGATAGATGGTTAACACTTATAAACCAGTTATATCACAACACAGTTCCGTAACACTTGTGTCCATGTTACATTTCATTTTCCTTTACTTACCCGAATCAATTCACATACATGGCTCAGAACCTGGCCAAACAATTCAATGAGGCTATAACTCATATACTAACACTTCCATATTTCACAATAGATACACATATTTGTTGTATCAATACTTTAATTTAATACACATATTTGCTGTATTAATGGAGTCCATCCCCTATCTCCTCCCAAACAAGTTTGAGAGTCAATCCCGTATCTTCTCTCAAACCATGGAGTACATCCCCTATCTCCTCCCACACATTACACATATTCCAAGTATATAAACAATTATCATATGCAGGGATCACTCAATACACATATTTGATGTATTATTCCAACTGTCATATTCGATGACATATTCAATGTGTTTAATTTCGGTTTTCTCTAATCAACATGCAGTATCTATAACAATCAAGACTATCCTCCACCGATAGCCCAAAGCAGTTATTTCTAAACAGATAATAAATGCATCAACAGATATAATATCAACATTTTTATAGGTGAGTGATAAATTAATCCAACTACACCATATAATCCCATAATTTCCCAATTTCATTATTCTCAACTCAATTTCACATTTTCCAAATTAATTATTCATTATAATTAGGGCATTTTCCCCATTTTTCCAATAATAGCCCTAAGGCTCATTTTTCTCCCATAATCCATAAACAACCTCTATTTCAAGTCTATATCACAAATATGACTTAAACATGGAAAATCCCTCTTTTAAAAATTACAAAACAAACCCTAACTTTACTAAAAATTACCCAGCAACCCCAACATATCAAAATGCCCAAAATTTATGACAAAACTCATAGGATGGAGTAGGGTATCCCTACCTTGAAATGAAGAGCTCAAATGGAGAAGATAACCAAAACCCGAAGTGCTCCAAATCCGAGATTTTTCAGACTAAAACGAAGCCCAAGCCACCCTCTATCTTTCTTACAAAGGACTTAGGGTAGAAACACACTAAAACTAGATGAATCCCTAGAGAGAGAGTATGTAGAGAGAGAGGGAGCTCGGATCTAGGGTTTGCAAAACAAAAGAGATGAAAAGGTGAAGTGTTTACCTGCTGCTATCTACTGATATAACACAGGCTCGTTCGAGCGAAGGATTGGTCGCTCGAGCGACCAAACACAAGGAACTCTCGCTCGAGCGTAGAAAGTCTCGCTTGAGCCAAGAATGCGAAGCTTTAGGTCTGCAACCCAGAAGCACGCTAGAGCGACAGAATTCTCGCTCGAGCGAAGAAACTCAAAACATACACCTCGCTCGCTCAAGCGAAGGAAATCTTGCTCGACCCAATAAATGCAGCTCTCAGGTCTAGAATCAGACGTAGATGCAAGCTCGAGCGAAGGACTTCTCGCTCGAGCCAACAGATACAAAACTCAACTCTCGCTGGAGCGAAGGAACCCTGGCTCGAGCGAAGGATCTAAAACACAGAGCTCGCTCGAGCGACAAAGTCCTTGCTCGAGTGAAGACACCAAAAACTAGGCAGCAACCATTTGCTCCCAATCACACCAAACCTGTAACAAACCTGCCCAACACATCCTATAACTCAAAAATAAGGAATCAAAGGCTGAAATCACGATATATACAACAACAAGCTCCATGGAACCAAAGGTGGATACAACAACCAAATGGGGAAAGATCGGGATCGCTATATTATTTCCAATATCAAAAAGCAACCAAAAAAATGCTTGACAGAGAAACATACATAAAATCAGAAGCTCATGGTTAATAATAACATTTGTAAAAATAAACATATAAATGATAAGCAATACAACCAATTGCCATAGAGTGTTATTAGCAAGAGTCCATCATATCAAAGACGTGGAAGTCAACAGCTATGGCATGCTTTTAGGACATGAACTGAAACATAAACTTTAAACTTATTGACAAGTATAGCTAGTACTGTACTGCCTACATCATCACTTCTATTCAATATGTACTTTGAAAATGTATTTATTTATTTTTTCTCAAGTAACTCACACAGTGTATCTAGAAAATGTTTTGCACCAAATTACCATAACATAGAATCTAAAACCGTGGTTGTCAATCAAATTAAACAAATCAAAAAATAACTGTCACCAACACATAAAATTCCCATCAAACTATAACTTACAGCTATGTACTTTAATACTTCTCTCATATCTTTCCCTTCTTTATAAAGGATGCATCTTCCTTTCTATCTCCATTTCGTTCAATTTACCTCTTTTTAGAACAGAAAAGAGAAATAAACATAAAAAAGAAACATACTTTAATACAACACGGAGTAGTAATAGATCGTAATGCTCTTTCCAAAACCTTCCACTCTTCAATCCTGGGAAACGAGATACTATGTCATCTGGAAAAAGGGGAGTGCCTGGCTTTTTCGATGCAGCCTTCACCTATCATTGTACAAAAAGGTTTATAGTTAAAATTTTAAATAAAATTACCACGACAGTTTTAAGATTCAATATATGATATTTCTAAATCTTCATTGAAGCAACATTTACATTTAAGGATTGCTTGATAGATGTTAAGGGGGCATACCATGATACTACCGATGGAAAGGATTATAGTTTTTTAGACTTCTGTGCAATGAGTTAGCATTTCAAAATTAAGGTTCTATGGATTTTTCAATCCATGCCAATGTGCATACATGGATTGCTTCAACTAAGAGTTCAGCTTATTGTAATTCTTTTTTAAATTGAATTTTTTAAATGAAAAACACCAATGCTTAAGACTCATGTCATGCATCCTAGACCTATATGTCAGGAAGTTAAAAATGGAAAAACCAGGCTTTCACCATTTAAACACTATTTGAAAAAAGGAGAGATAGGAGAACAACAGTCCTCACAAATCATAGCTTTAAGATGATTCCCAAGTTGACCACTCTTTTAAAAATCCAAAGCTACAAAAGTACTAACCAACCAAGTGGAACTCTTTCATCAAGCATACAAAACTTACTTTGTCCCTTATCAGAAGTAACACTGCAATCCTAACAAGTACATCTTCTATCCTTAGTTCTTCTTTAGGAACACCATCTGCAGCAAAATAATGAGTGAGAACAACAAATTAATAGCAGACAAAAAAGAAGAGAGAGAGAGAGAGAGAGAGAGAGGGGTCATAAAAGATGTAGAAAGAGCAGCAAAAAAACTAACTAGAATAAATAATCACCTGAAAAGGTTAGTGAGTCAGTAATATCCTCAGCGATGTGTGTCAAGAAAAGAGTCCCATATCTGGACAACAAAGATTAACCACAAATCAATGCACCCTACTGTTACAAAATTGCAAATAAATAAATAAACAATAAAATAAAAAAAAATATGAAAGTTTTCGATTAACAAAAATGCTGCAGTCCCATTTTAGCATCACTACAAGTCACTAATCAAGAAGATTCCAAATATTAAGAAGGTATTATATTGCGTACTCTTTAATTTCTTCGCAAGTCTTTTGCTTCAAGCGTGGCGTGAACTCTGCCCAGTCAAACTCCCCAACTCCAAATCTGTCAAACAATCTATATCATTAAAGACCAACATACGAGTACAAATATATCATTATTAGAATACGAATAAAATAAGTTGATTCTGCATTTAAATATACATTCAAAACTAAACCTCATCATAATCTGAACAAATACAGCCCTTTGATTTTGATTGAATCCCTTTACTCTGAAGGATCTCCCTTCACCTTCCGTCAAGGGAAGTGATTCAGCACTATCCACTGCAAATGATTGGAAAAAGGGCCTATGATCAAACATGATCACCAACTTCTTCAAATTATCGTATTAGGATGATACTAGCTACACAAAACAATACCACGGATTTTCTTTCTATAAGGCCTCCTCCCAGTTAGAATTCCAGATGCAGCTGTTTCTTCATCAATTAACTCAACTTCATAGTTATTGTCTTCTCCTTCGAAACTTACATCTTCCAAACCAGCAAGGTCCTCATTTTCTACAGACACCATCTAAATGAGCCCCAAGAGCACATGAGAAACATAACATTAGAAATCCATCTTATTTCATGAGCAGCCAGGTGAAACATTTGTCCTAGACAGGACTCAGAGATGTTCACATCGAAGAACAACAATTTAAATTTTCACACGGGATTATTAACATAGTATAGAGCAGAATTCCACAACTACTACTGTTTTATTCCACAACATGTCAGAAGTTGATGCAACTTCCAAAGTGAATGAAGTTTAACAGGCTCTGGTATCAAAGAAATTCAATTTGAAATAACAATTCACACGATGAATCGTAGGTTATGTGATTTAGAAATAATGAAACAAAAAAGAATGGGTGAGGATTGATAAATTTGAAAGGAATGCAATGTGGATTAATTCTCCAATGATGATAAAGAATTATGCACAAAAGGGCTTAGAAGACAAACCCTCTATGCAAGCAAACTAAATTGATTACTGTGGTGAAAGAGGTTTGGAAATACTCTTCAGATCCTTGGAGACGCTAGTGATCCTCAGCTAGTCACCTGAAAAGATACAAACACTCCGGTCGGGGGTGTCGGAATTAGCACTCCGACGGACAAGTCAGTTCAAACACTCAGGATAGCTTCTCTACTAAGTTAAGTGAAGTGATTCTTACATACCTTTCTAAATCTGTGGTTCTTGTATTTATACTTGCTTTTTGGGCCTCGGGGCCTGAGCCTACTTTTATCCCATTCCCCTTTTATTTATTCGGAGCTACTGATCTCCGGATATTCGGCCTTCCTAACATTTTCGGCATCCTAGTCACGCAATATGGAGCCGAATAATGTCTGATTTCTAGGGTACACACCTTCCGACTATTCTATTTATTCGGCTCCCACAATTACAAAAGCAATGTACCTTTTAAAATGATGTAAAATACCTGTTTACAGCTTTTATTCCCCTTGCCCATGGCGTTAAACTCTTCAACCTTCTGTACTTCATATCTGTCTTTCAACGACTCTTCCCAGTAGCTAGCTCTATCTGGGTTGTTGGTGGTAGTTTTATTTTTGGTTGATGCCTTTTGTGCTTCCTCTTCTGCTACTGCTTCCACTTCATCAATGTACTCAAAATTTGCTACCTAAAGCATATGTGCAACTTTAGTTTCCTTAAAACCAAAAAGCATAAAATAAGATACGACAAAGATATCATAATAAGACAGGCCAGATACCCAGTTGGAATGGTGAAAATAAAAAGGGAGAATATCAAAAAAGTGGAGACTAGAAAAATAATTCAAAATGATGGAGGTACAAGTGATTTATGCATTAGATAATGCAAATAAATCTTATACCATCATTTAAAAATTATTATTTTTTACTTTCCACTTTTTCGAAATTATCCCAAATAAAAATGAGGTCCAAAACTATTAAATATTTTTTTCAACAACAACACACCAATGAGACTAATGTTCACTAACCTTGCAATAGCTAATGGCAGAGGTTATCTTCTCATTCCTCTCCTCGGCACTCATTTCACTGTAATACATACAGTTCTTCAGCGACTTCCCACCATCACCGCGATCTGTCGGCTTGTAACACGTGAAGCATCTCTTGACCTTCCGCATCAACAACGTCCCGAACCTCAAGAGAGAGAGAGAGATTGAAGTTGAGGGCTTCATGGAGAGAGAGAGAGAGAGAGAGAGAGAGAGAGAGAGGAGAGGGGGGGCTAATTCCTAAATCTATAACCAATTCCTAATATTTTCTAATATAATCCTTATTTTCCTCCTAAAAATCAGAGATTATTTCCTTGGTTTGAAAGTTAGCAATAATTATTTTCTGATATTTCCTTATTTTCCTGAAAATTAAAAAAGAGTATTTTCTAACGAATTGAGTGAAAAGGTTGCTATCTACTGAAAGATAGTTGAACAAAGACAACATGCTAGAATCTTACCTGACCAAAGAACAGTTCCCTTCTTGCCTTCAATGTAGTTCTCCCCGGCTACATCTCGGCACGTAATGCTAAGACTCATCCTTATCATTTCCTTAGTGTTATTTCAAACCAGAACTTCTATGGAAGTCATGTCATGCGCAAGTACAGAACCTTTAGACAAAGGGGATTGAACTTGATTAATGGATTCTTTAGGTGAGCTAAAGCCCAGTGAATAAATATAAACAGTGAGCTAAAGCCCAGTGAATAACAACTGTGTAAAGAGGTTAAGAATGAATGTCCTTTCAGTAATTAAAACAGTCATTTGCATCAGTGGATCAATTGTTCAATCAGTGACTAATAGTTCATGTCAGAACAGTCATTTAGAAACCATAGCAGTCATATGTGGTACATCCCATAGCAGAACAATACAGTAAATAGTCAGTCTTAACAGACTGAACAGTTAGTTGATGGCCATCAAAACAGTATACAGTATTGGTTCCAATTATTGGAACTGACATAGATCTCTGTGACAGTAGCAGTAACAGTACAGTGCAGCAGCACTAACAGTAACAGGAACAGTAGGTTGCTATGGATGCAACAAGTACAGTTTACAAATAGAACAAACATTCATTCAGTAAACAACGTCGTTTCAGAAAGCAGTCCAGTCAATCATTCAGAAAATAATTATAATTGAACGTATCTTTACAACATTGTTACTCACAGAGTACTGGACTATAGGCAAGCTAATGAGCGTCCTCGGATGCCAACCCTACACAGTTGCAGAATGAACACACACTAAGTTACACATTTGGGAATCAACAACTTAGTCCCTATCTTGACTTGGTATGGTTCTATAACATTATCCTCATTAAGATGCCTTAAATATGGCCTAGGGATGCCTAGGATGAAATGAGGATGCAGAGATGTACTTTAAAACACTTTTAAAATTTGCTGAAAACAGAGGTCTCGCTCGAGCGTAGCTTCCTTCGCTCAAGCGAGCTTACCAAAATAGAGGGGTCGCTCGAGCGTAAACTCCTTCGCTCGAGCGGTCTGTAAAAATGAAAAAAGTACTAGTTGCTGAAATTCTCCGCTCAATGCTCGCTCGAGCGTGAGACACAATCCTTCGCTTGAGCGCAAGTCTCGTCGCTCGAGCGTGCATCTACGTCCACAAAAACCTGAGAGCTTGCAATCTACGCTCGAGCCAGCATTCCGTCGCTCGAGTGAAATTCAGAAAACGAAGGTGCTCGCTCAAGCGTGGAATCCTTCGCTCGAGCGAGAAAGCCAAATTCTGGGTTTTCCAGATTTGCCTCCAAAGCTCAAACCAAGCATTCAACACCTCAAAACTCAATCTTTTGGGCCAATTTTTTGGAAAATACTTGGAAACTCATAATACAACATGTTTTGAAGACTATTTTTCAAAATCAAAGCCCAAAGGTAAGCCAATTGAGCACCAATTTCAAAGAAACTTGGAGAACAATACAAGAACTTAACATGCATGAGTTCCCATGAACTCTAATGTTCCAAAACATGACCAAATGCAAGATTGAGCTCTAAAACATGGTGAATTCTTGGACCACAACAAAAATATGAACATGCATGTAAGAAATTCTCATGAAAGCAACCTTAAAATTCAAGAACATGTACATGCACGCATGAATTAGCTTCACTCTCTTAAATTCTAACTCAACTAACCATGAATTCACCTATTTCATTAATATACAAGCTCAAGATGGCTCGAAAACAAAATTAAAGGGTTGAGCTCTTACCTAGGCTCTTCAATTAAGCTTTACTTAAGCAAGGTCCTTAAGCCAATGAACAATTCTTCAAAATTCCCTTTGATTCTTCTAAATCCAAGCCAAATTTCTAGATGAAATCAATCTCTCTCAAGTCTCTCTCTCTCTCTCTCTCTCTCTCTCTCACGTTTTTGGTCTAGGAGGTGAATGAAGAGTAATGTATCACAAATGAAATTAACTAATGGCAATTGTGTAATAAATTCAACTAATGTAATTTAACATTATTTAATCTAATTAATCATACCAAATCAAAGTTTAATTAAACCTATCATAAAATCACATAAATTATAATTAGCATACAACACTAATCAATTTCTGAATCGGGCGCCGATAAGGCTTTCAATTTGCAATTCGAAATTAAAACGTGAACAGATCATTCTACGGTAAACAGATAGAAATGCATTCTAAACAACACACTCACACAATTAATTAAGGATTTCAACTTAATCAATTTCTTATCATGCTTAATCACAGATTAGCACTAATCAGAGGTGAGGGTCGTCACACATTGCCAAGAAAGACATTATTGATTTTGTAATAGAAGTATGAAAATAATGCAATTCTTCTGCAATAAATAGTCCATAGCAATAATATTATAGTCTTTTAGACTAGATTTGTAAGGAGACATTGCAATAAAAGACATTTTTTCTATGTTTTTGAATTGTTGTCTGTTCAAGTTTCTAATTTGCTTTGTGGTTGAGTTTAACATTTTAATGTATTTTTTTAATGTGGGTGAATAAGTTTCATGTAAATGAACTTATAATGGAGTTTGTTCAGTAGGTGTGAAGGTTTGAAATGGTTGTGCTCAGCCTGTGCTTTCAAAGTAAATTTTTTTTATATTTCAGAGTATACTTTTACTTTATTGCAAAGTAAAATTTTACTTTTTCCAGAGTAAAACATTGCCTTCATTCACATGAAAGTAAAACTTTACTGCCTTTCAAAGTAAAAATTTACTATGCTGTTGAGTGGTTGTCTATGGGTGTGATGACACTGTGGTTTCACAATAAAATTTTACTTTATTTCAGAGTAAAATGTTACTTTTAGATTAAAATTTTACCTTATTTCAAAGTAAAATTTTACTTTTATAAAGAGTAAAATTTTACTTTTATGCAGAGTAACATTTTTCTTTTAGATCCAGAGTCTAACATTTTACTCATTTTTCAGAGTAAAATTTTACTTTTATACGGAGTAAAATTTTACTTTTAGATTCAGAGTGTAACATTTTAGTCTTATTTCAGAATAAAATTTTACTTTTATACAGAGTAAAACTTTACTTTTAGATTTAGGTCGTAACATTTTACTCTTAGATTCAGAGTGTAACATTTTATTCTTATTTCAGAGTAAAATTTTACTTTTATGCTGAGTAAAATTTTACTTTTATGTAGAGTAAAATTTTACTTTATTTCAAAGTAAACTTTTACTTTATTTCAGACAGTATGTTAGTCCCTTAGAAAAATATTTCCAACCTGTACCAAAATTTACCACAATAAACAAACTCCCCTGTTGCTCATCATGCAATCTTTGTGCAAAAAAATCTAACAGCACAACTACATATATCATCAAAGATACACAAGTATAACCTGTATCATTGTATTCTATCCATAACAACGTTAATTCCTAGTCAAAACAATATCCTGCTATAATAATGTATTAATCTCCAAACCACAGTAAAATTTACTAGAACACTCGACATAGCATGTACTATCTAATACTCTTTTAGTATTCTTTCACTTACAATTACTTTTTCACCATTCTTTCATTTACAAAAACCAAAATTACACATATCATTCACAGTACTTCCCCAAAAGTTGTCCACATTGTTGTCCTTGAGGTCTTAGCTCTTGCCTATTTTTTTTTTGGAGGGGGTTAAATTGTTCCTCAATCCATACTTTTAGATAATCATTCAAAAATTGATGCACTATTGATGCTCGGAAATTGTTAATTTCATCCTCTTCCATAGAATTTGCAATAGGCTCATCTCTTACGATTTGATGCATGATATAACATACAATAATTTCATAATCAACATTGTTAATAAAAATCAAGATCTTGTTAGATTTAGTCAAATTTGAAAACTACCAATTCAAGCATGTAGTAGTAGCGTGAAATACTTACGATGTTAGGCATTGTTATGGACTATCTTTTATCGAAACTAAGTTTGCAAACTTTCTTCTACCTCCATAGCGATCCCGGTTACCCCTTTTCTGTTCTATTGTAAACCAGGCGCGGTTCCATGGCGTTGGTAGTTGTACCTATCATGTTGTCAACGTTTAAACCCTTTTTGTTTGAGTTTCAGAATGTGTTGGGCTTGGTTGTTACAGGTTGGTAGAGCTTTAGCTCCCATTGTTGTTGCCCAATTTTTGAATGGTCCGCTCGAGCGGGTCTTCTTGCGCTCGAGCGGGGTTTACACACTTCCAATATTTCGTGCCCCTGCAAAACTTCTGCAGGTGTGTTTTCTATGCTCGAGCGGGTTTCTTGTGCTCGAGCGGGTCGCGCTCGAGCGGGCTTCTTGGCGCTCGAGCGGGTAGTCCTTTTCTCAAAAGTTCTGGGAGGTGAAAATCTACGCTTGAGCGAACTGGTTCTTCGCACTCGAGCGGATGTGTTTGCTTTTGTTACTTGGTGCTCGAGCAGGCCTTCTTGCGCTCGAGCGTTACCAGATTTTTGTGCTTGACGCTCGAGCGTTCTATTCTCTGCTCGAGCGGGTCACACGTATATGATTCATCCGCTGGGTAATTTTAAATCACTTTTTACATTTCCTTTCTCTCTCTTACTTTCCCAAAATCAATTTTGAGAGCCTCTCTCTCTAAGATCTCCCTTCTCTCTAGGGTTTGATCTAGTTAGAGTGTATCCCTATCCTTCGGCCTTTGTAAAAAGTGTGTTGATCGTTGAGGGCTATATTTTG